TCCAGCTGTGTTTGATTAATTAGTTCATTTGCTCCCAGGTGTGTCCCATTGGTGTCTGTTCATTTAAACCCTGTGTTTCCCAGTGTTTCCCGTCTGCTGTTAAATGTCTTCTGTGAGTTCCTGTGTTTTCCCCGTTGCTCATTCCATGTTGAAATATTCTCCTGCGTCTCTTCGTTCCCTCCTCCCCGAGTGACCGTGACAGTATTTATATATACATATTAAGTATACACACATATATTATGCAAACAAAAACTTTTATTTTGTATGCGATTAATCGTTTGACAGCACTAATATATATATGTGACCCTGGACTACAAAACCAGTCATAAGGGTAAATTTTTCGTAATTGAGATTTATGCATCTTCTGAAAGCTGAATAAATAAGCTGTCCATTGATGTATGGTTTGTTAGGATAAGACAATATTTGGCCGAGATACAACTATTTGAAATTCTGGAATCTGAGGGTGCAAAAAAATCTAAATATTGAGAAAATCATCTGTAAAGTTGTCCAAATGAAGTTCTTAGCAATGCATATTACTAATCAAAAATGAAGTTTTGATATATTTACGGTAGGAAATTTACAAAATATCTTCATGGAACATAATCTTTACTTAATATCCTAATGATTTTTGGCATAAAAGAAAAATCTATCATTTTGACCCATACAATGTATTGTTGGCTATTGCTACAAATATACCCCAGCGACTTAAGACTGCTTTTGTGCTCCAGGGTCACATATATTGAGGATGCAATGCATCGTGATATTGAACTGAATCGAATCGTTGACATGATAATCGTAATGGAATCCGATCGTGAAAGCAGTGAAGAGTCACACCCCTAAAAGGCTGATGTCTGACCTGAAGATGCCCTCGGTCTGGTCTCCGTTCAGGCTCAGCACTTCCTCGGACAGACGCGTCTGGACCCACGGCAGCTGCCTGTCGGGATAACGGTCCTTCTGGATCTCCATCACTTCCTCCAGAGACGAGCCGAACATGGAGGGCCTAAAGATGGCGTTACGAGCGTGAGCGATCTCCTCGATCGAGGGCTTGTTCAAACCCTGCGCACACAGACAGCAGAAAACAACTGAGAAAAGGAGTGTGGCTCTGTGCTGAAATCATCACAGTGCATGCTGGGATTGCGGAGTCTGCAGACGAGCTCCTACACATTATCCATTTCAACATGGAGACTTTTCCAGACTTCTCTATGTTTAACATCTGATAAACGGTTTTAAAATCCAGCTGTTACATATATGTTCAATTCTGAAAATGTATGTTATTATGTTGCCAAATATTTAGCTCAAATTTCAGTGTGCAGCAATCTTAATAAAATTGCAGAGCTAAAATAAAAAAAAATGGTTTCACACTTTCACTAACTGCGTAGATTTTAAATTCATATGCTAAGTCTTAAAATAATTTTGTCAAAATAATAATAAAATATTACATTCACATTTTCACTGATTGCATACATATTACATATAAAAAAATATATTGTCACTGATTACATTTATTTAGAAAATATTATTTTAAATTTATAAGTTTTAAAATAATACTGTCAAAATAATAATAAATTAATACTAATTACATTCACATTTTTTACTGATTTTTATATTTTAAAATCATAAGTTTAAAAATAATCTTGTTAAAATAATAAAATACTGATTACTGATTATATATGTGTATATATATATATATATATATATGTATGTGTGTGTATATATATTAAAAAATCATATTATTTGTTTGAAAATAATATTGTCAGTGATTACATTTATTTAGAAAATGTTATTTTAAATTCATATTATAAGGTATACTGTAACAAAAATATTATAACTGATTACATTTATTTATAAAATATTATTTTCTAAATAATAGGATATGCTATACAGTATAATATATTTGCTCTACTATAAATTTACAGATGAAATCATTTATTATTATTTATTTGCATAGAGAGTCATGTTAAACAATCAAATTTTTTTTTTAAGGAATCTCTCAAACTCTCAAATTTTTTTTTTTGATCCATACTGTGCTTTTTCATACTTTTCCAGATCTGGAAATGACTAAAATGAAATCCCACATTAAAGGCATTTTTACCTTTAATGTATGTGCATATGATGCCTTGAATGATCCCTATGTAGGCAGCACACTAGGTTTTGGAGCGGAGCCGTGGTGTGAAGCGTTAGCTTGCTGAGCGTCTGGCACAAACACACATTTACACACAAACTCCGCTTACTGGCCGTTTGCAGCGACTGGAATCTCCACAGGCGACTGGCGTCACAAACGTTTACTTCACACCATAGATATGTACTGTATACGCTTCACACATGCACACACGAGCGTCTTTCACGCCAGGGAATACAAACACATGTGCGATGACACCCGTCCAGTGTTGCCAACTGTTTTCAATTGAAAGTAGCTAAAACTGGTAGCTAAATGTCACTAGATGCCATCACAATGGCAAATTCACTGATCTATATAAAGATGAACGTAGATCAGTGGGCAAGATGAGAACTTAGATAAGGTCTGTCCAAGAAGTTGCTATATTTGTCCCTAAACTTTTGAAAAAAGTCTCAAAAGGGGCGGGGAATTCGCTAAATCTAGCTACAAAGTAGCTAAATTGGCAACACTGCACCCATCATGCATCAGTGCTGTCAGCGCGTAATCACCACGTGGCTGTCTGAAACGCCGCTCGTCGTCATGGCAACGTCTCCAGGACGACTTTCGGAATTCTGGAAACTGAATGTTAATTAAAACCATTAAATAGCAGGCCAAACCAGCCAATTATCACATACGCCACATTAGAGCCCAAACACAGCAAACATGAACCAGACGCGACTGAACATCAGAAACAATTCATTCAATGTAAAAACTAAAATACACTGTTAAAAAAAACTATCTATTTCAGTCTCTTTACTTCAAAATTTTGTTTAATTCAATGCATTGCACTGAATACATTTAAAATATTTTAAATTCATATTATTAGTTTTAAAATAATATTGTCAACATAATAATAAAATGATTCTGATTACATTCACGTTTTCACTGTCTGCATACATTTAAAATATTTTTAATATTTTAAATTCATATTATAATAAGTTTGAAAATAATATTGCCAAAATAATAATAAAAGTATACCGATTGCATTCACTGACTGCATACATTAAAATAATATTTTAAAAAATAAAATAATACTGATTACATTACAATCACAGAATTGCATACATTTTAAATACTTTAAATTCATATAAGATTTGAAATAATACTGTCAAAATACAGTAATAGTAAAATAATACTGATTACATAAAAATTTTCACTGACCGTATGTTTCAAATATTTCAAATTCATATTATAAGTTTTAAAGTAATAGTCAACATAATAAAATGATACTGATTACATTCACATTTTCACTGACTGCATATATTTTAAATATTTTAAATTCATATTATAACGTTTAAAATAATAAATGTCACTGATTACATTTATTAAGAATATCTTTCTTTAAAATTCATTTAAATGTATAATTTTCATATAAAATTTAAATTCTAATTTTAAATGTATTAAATTCATATAATACGTTTTAAAATAATATTTCCCAAATAATACTAATAATAAATAATACTGATTATATTCACATTTTCACTGACTACATACATTTGAAGCATTTTAAATTCATTTTATAAATAAAATAAATAAATATTATATATTAAATATAAATAATATATATA